ACAGTTATTTGACTGCTATATTTTAACATTGGTGCAAAAATAATGATATCCCAGAAACCAGATTATTTTTAATAGATCAACTAATACCCAGTCAACCAACACCCAGAGCAACTAACAACCACAGCAACTATGCATCAGCGTGCTATTAGGATTCGTTTCACTACTTAATGTGCCACAATTATACACTGCGCTCCCTTCTTCAGATGATAAGTAAACGTATTACTCATTTATGAGCTAATTGTGCACCATAATCCAAAGCCAAAAACTGAAGACCTAACTCTCTATGTAGTTGCAGCGCTCTGCGGGAGTGGCTGTCACTTTTCATTTTGGTGCAAAGTTGTGTACACCTCAAATAAAAAAAAATTAATTAAATATGGAAAAACATTCTCATTCATCATCGGACACGTCCGACAGCGACTCAGAATTATATCGTTTAAGGAAGAAGGTAAGAAGACTATCAATGGCGCCACCCAAAGTCAACCCAGAGGCTAAGGTAGCAGCTTCTAATATAGCTATTAAAAGAGATGACAAATTAAAATTTTACAAGAACGGTTCCAGGAGGGATTAACATACGGGTCATTAAATAACTACAGATCAGCACTTTCTTTAATTTTGACACCAGGCATTGCTGAGGACCTAAGGGCCAAAAGATTTTTTAAAGGCGGTAGTAACCTAAGACCTTCTCTACCAAGGTACGACTTAACTTGGAACCCATTAATGGTACTGAATACCTTCAGAGATTGGTGTCCCAATCATGAAATTCTAATAGAATTATCAGAAAAAATAGTAACACTATTGGTTTTAGTTACAGCACATAGAATTCAAAGCTTTAGCCTTATTAGATTGGAGAATATTTGTAGAACTCCAGATGGATTCTCAATAAAGATTCCTGATAAGATTAAGTCGTCAGATAGAAACAGACTCTAACCATGTTTAACTCTTCCCTTCTTTAATCAGGATCCTAATATTTGCCCTGGGAGAACATTCGACTCATACATAGAGCGAACTAAGATCGTTAGAGGAGAATCTGTAAAAAAACTTTTTATATCTTATAGAAAACCTTTTAATTCAGTCTCCGCTTAGACCTTAAGTCGTTGGGTTAAGCGAACCCTTAAAATATGCGGGATTGATACGAACATCTTTCTTGCTCACAGTACGAGACATGCTGCGACGTCAGCAGCGTTAAATAAAGGAATGAACTTAGATATTATAAAGTACACAGCATTTTGGTCAAGTGAACCTTCGTGTTTCGAAGATGATCTCTCCCAACCCAGCTCTGTGAATCCCAGATCATCACAGTTGCGACAAGGCTTTGAAGAAGTGACAGCCACGCCCTCAGAGCGCGGGAATTACATAGAGAGTTAGGTTATTAGTTTTTGGCTTTGGACTATGGTGCACAACTAGCTCATAAATGAGTACTACGTTTACTTATCATCTTCGAAGGGAGCGCACTGTATAATCAAGATCGAACTTCACTTAAGGTAAGTTCGTTTGATCTTATAATTTCGCTTGACTACATACACCAGATATTTTTTATATAACAGCCTGTATTTTAACATAAAAAATATTAAGTCAAAAGTATTTTTTTTAATGTAAAATCTGTTATCTCAACAGTAAAAATGAGCCGATTCAATATGCCTTATAGGAATAATTCTTTTGTATGTAATGTAAATATACTTCTAATGTAAATTACTAGTGTAATTAATGTAATTAGTTTCATTGTAAAAGGTCATGTAAAAAGTTGTTTGCGTCAAATATTAGTTAAAAGTTTTCCATTTTAGATTTAGAGTTAGGTTAAAGAACAGCTAAGCTAAATCACAATCTTTGTACTTCTTACTTTTGTGCAATAAAGACGATTATTATTGTTTTAAAAAAGTCTTTTTTTCGGATGAAGCTACATTTCTTCATAAAGGGTATGTAAATTGTTAGTATCTTACTAAATACCCGGAGAAATGAATGCATGGGCGGAAAATAGATAATAGGATTATAGAAACATACTGTTTCAATGAAATTTTATTTTAACATGTCCCCGATATTGAGAATTTTTGCAAAATTTCTTTCTACCCAAACAGAAATGATTTTGTGAAAGTAGCAAGATGATGCGCTCCCACACTATGTTTACTTGGTAAGAAACTATATAGACGTATTTCCAGATTAGGCGTAGAGGATCAATCATCGGTTATGCTGTCTTTGTAAGAAACTACTTTTAGACGTCTGTCCAGATTGGGCGAAGAGGACAAATAGGTTGGGGTTGGGCTCTTGGAGCAAGGGCAGTTCGGGTCGAGATATTGAAACCAAACTTGGTATATACATGTATTATTCCAAAAATATGAAAATCGCATAAAAAAATTTCGCCCACCCCACCCCTTACTAATATGGAGGGGGTGTCACGTCGCGCTCAAAAAATCCAATAGCCATTTAGGTTACTGGATTTAACTACTTTTGATTTCTTTTTATTGGGATATTTAAAAGGTAAAGTATACCAAAATAGACCATAAAATATCGATGAACTTTCAAATGCATATGGATCGAGGTGGCGCAAAAATAACGGAGGGTCGTCAATTTGAGAATTTGCTTTGAATTTGGTAATTTTTTTATTTTAAAAAGTTCATTTGGATTAATAAATTTAGTATGAATATGTAAGGTATATGTATATACTCAAAACAAAACCTACTTAAATTTGACGGGTTTTTTTTGCGAAATTTTAGTTTTTCAATTTAATTAACAAAACTTTGGCAAAGTTGGCAAAAATAATAATTTAATTGATTTTCAAACGTGAATTTATTAAATTTTTTATTACTATTTTCTAATCTGTTATTAAATTTATCTCATGGAACACCCTGTGTATTACATCTGTCTAGCAAGCTATCTCAAACGTTTATGTACAAAATGATTCAGCACAACATTATACACATACACTAGAACCACAGTTAGAATTACAAGTTCTAAATATTTTAATTTCGTACTAAAGTGAAATTTACTCAAATAATTTTAAAATATTTCACGATTTATCGGTACTATTGGTCTACTTTTCTATTTCGTCTCGATTCGTGTACTGCATTTCAATCCCAAAAAAAACTTACATTCCAAGTACTTTCCAAAAACACCCAAAGGTACTACCATTGGGTACTCTGCCACTGTATGAGACAGTCATTTTTATTTCACTATGCGGGCTGTAGGCCCTATCCCTCTCACTTTACCGACACTATCACCATGCAAGTAGTACCGCGAGAAGAGTAGAGACATCGAGGTACTTACCGTGTACCCAGCGAACCAGAGACTGGCTTGTTATTTGTTAACAATCAGCAGTTTAGGCGAAGACCACAGGTGGTACTTGTGTATGGTGCATAGTGGGGAACTCTGTGCACATTGATATTGGCGGTACTACTACTGTTCTTTGTTAAATTTGTGAATTGAGGAAGTCTGATTGTCAACATATGGTCGATGATTGTATATTGGATTGAAGTAATTACTGGTATAATAAATATGTATTTCCTCATTTCGGTGGTACTAGGAGGACAGTTTAAATAGTAGTTTGTGCAACAAGAGTGGATATGATGGCCATATCGCACGAAGACGAAATTTTAGCACGACGCCGTAGGCGAAGTGCTCAATCGTCTAAGGGCGATATTGACAATCCACTCGAGATGTACACTATATTTTTTCTACGATCCAGTAACGAAAATCTACAATTATTAAAAATTCTTTTAGGTTATTATAAGATAAAATATTAATTTAAAAATAATTTATGACTTTTACTAATTTATAAAATAAACTAAACAAGAAAAAAAAAGAAAAAATTATATCATTTTTCTCCATCTGAGATTTGAACTCAAGTCTTCCGTATGGAAGGCAAGAACGATGACCACAGGTCCATCTACGCAATTATTTTTTTTTGCTTTAATACTGCTTTTAATTTAATACTACTTTTAATTTAATACTGCTTTTAATTTAATACTGCTTTTAATTTAATACTGCTTTTGCTTTAAATAGTTTGACAAAATTGTCGCTTATTTAAAATTTTAAAAATAATAGCAGTTGGTTGATCAAAACATAAACTGTGATTGGTGGATTTCATTTTTTTGCAGTATTCTCACTATCTAGAATGGATATGATATACATATCCAGTTTAATGGGATAACAATTGTTAATTAAGGGAGAAAATAATAAAATATTAAAAGATAATTAAATAATAAAAAATCAAGCATATCCTCTTCGGACCCACGTAACAGAAATGTGTGCAATTTTAATTTGGTTAATTTGGTTTCATCCAGGTTATTATTTTAAATTATTTTTTGTTCCAAATTTCACCAACCACCCATACAGCACACATTATTTCAGAAGTGTTTCAGAAATATTTCAAACATATAACATTTCAAGCATACGTTTCTGAAATATTTCAGAAATATTTTAGTTAAATATTTCCCTGAAAATGTTTCTGAAACATCGTATACATGTTGCACAAAAGGTTTCTAAACGTGTTATGTTGTAAAAGACCAACACTTAATGAAGTATTATGATTTGTAAGAAGAAGATGGGATATGTAGTAATTTTATTTCTTGTCCAGCTCACCAGCCAGAGACAACCCTATATTCTAAATAAATTATATATTGGAGTTGTCGGTTTTTGCCATTTTTTTTTTGTTATGTATGCGTTGTGCTGTTGTTATATGGGAAGCAGAATATATGTCTTTATTAGAAATTTATGTGAGTCCTACACCAGTTTTTATTAGTTCCATAGCCGATTGAAAAGCGGAGCTTCATGTTTTATTTAGGCATGAGTATTTGTATAAATCCTTTTTAATTATCTTTAATTTGTTTCAGATTAGTGCAGTTAAAGGAATTCGTGGAAATGAAACAATTTGCCAGCTTTGGGGATGTGCCAGTAAAAGTATCATCCAAGTTATTCAACATTTCCAGAATAAAGTATTAAAGAACATAATCGATGCACCCTGGTATATACTGCCACAATACTGATCTTCATAGGGACCTTAAAGTGAAGACTGTTGAAAATGCAATACAACAATTTGCCAGTAGTCACCAACAACGACTGCTCCAACATGGAAACCTTGAGATTATCCAGCTCAACAATGCCAATCTAATAAGAAGACTAGAGAACCAAGCCTTTTGAGTTAGTTCAGTGAGCCGAGTTAGCAGAGTATAGTGCAGTTAAGTATTATACGTTAACGGTAGTGTAAATAATTAGACTCTAAGGTATACTAGTGAGTAGAATATTAGTTTATGAAGTTTTTCGTCCCTTAATAAGTTAGATTAGAATAAAATTGCTAATTGATCTTAATGATCAGATTGTCATAATCATAAAAAGTTTCATTTGGAGCATTTATTAAAAACAAATTATTTGTTTCAGATAAATGCATTTAAAGAAATTTGTGGAAATTAAGCGATTTGCTTTTATATTTTATGAAATGTTTAAAAATTAATTATTTGTTTGTTTAAGAATCAATGTTTGAGTTTTGTGTATTTTAAATAAACATATTTATAAATGACTTTTTTTAGTCTAATAATATTTAAGAAAAAATGCTAGAATAGATTTCTGAAATATTACTATTTAGTATTTCTAAAAGATTTCAAATTTTTATTTCAGAAATATTACTGTGAAATATTATATTTAGAGGACATTTTTACGTTTCATGCACATTTCAAAAATGTTTCGCAATATTAATACAACATTACAAATGTTTCAATGTAATATTTTTGAAATATTTCTAAAATGTGTTTGTGCTGTATGGGAATATGTCTTTAGGAAAGTTTTCTACAAAAATAAAGCTTGTGAGTAAGGTTAGATTAATTTACTTTATCATCATTCACTGTGACGAGTGACGCCATTTCGTTTATCAAATTTACAAGCAATTTTATTGTAATTTTTATCCAAATATAACCTACCACACATTTGCTGTCCCTCCCTATAGTTTAATTTATTTACTAGCTCTACAGCTCTGATTGAAAATCACCTAAGAGGAGCTTCCTGTTTTGTTTAGGCATAATTATTGTTTAGTTTATTTTAATTAATTTAGAGCAATATTAATAAAACTATTTTTAATTAAATAATTTGTTTCAAATCCTTTTTTAAGTAGGTACCTATAATTTGTTTCAGATTAGTGCCTTTAAAGGAATTGGTAGAAATGAATATTTTATGAAATAATGTTTAAAACTTATTTATTTGTTTGTTTAAGAATCAATGTTTCTGTTTTGTGTATTTTAAATAAACATGTATATTTTTAAATATCTTTTTTAGTCTAATAAAAATATTACAGTGTAGTATGGCATTCAAAAGCTATTTTGATACTCCAGACATATTTTAAAAACGTTTCTATAACGTTTTATGATATTTATGAAACTAGAATACATTGCAGAAATATATTAGTTATATTTCCGAAAGGTTTCAGTCAATCTGCATAAAAGTTCGTCTACGGTAATGCTCCACATTAGTGGGGATAAAACTCCTCCTTGTGTACATATTCAGGTTGTGTAAATGTAGATATGGTCCTGCCTTATCTGTGTCTCTACAAATAGCTGCTGAACCTTCCATATGTTTGTGTTACTGTAGATAACTGTATAAAATATATAATTGGTACTGAGGTTGGGAAAAATAATTTTAAACGGTAGGCGCCGAAGAAATGTTTAATATCTTTTGCAGTTTACTCTCCTGTCTCTAGGCTATGTCCCGTTGAGAGCCTACTCTGGTATATTGCAAACTTACTTAGGTTAGGTCAGATAATCTAGTGATCAAAAAGTAACTCTATAGAACTCTATAGAAGCAGTATACCTGTTAATAAAAAATGTCCTTTAATAATACCATTATCTGACCGGAAAATAAAACAAACTCCTAGATATTTTGCTAGATATTTATTTATTACATACAACACATATTGGTGCAATTGAATGACATAGAGCAAAATAAGTACTTATTTTTTTTAAATATAAATATTAATAAGAAAATTAGTTACAAAATTGTCAAAATGTTTTGAATAAATAAGTAAGTATATACATTTGAGATAGTATCGATATATATATGAGATATTATTTATTATTTTAAACTTAAACATAAATTTTAATCTTTTTATAAACTATACCACTGCTCTTTAACTCTCAAATGCGTTGGTACAAAATATATTTAAAATATTGAAAGACAGTGAGCTTTGAAAAATATGTTGAATTTGTACCTACATAATACATCTAGATTTTTAAATTTAAGATATACAAATCTTGTTAAGACATTATAATATTTTTTGTCAACTTAGCAACATCGCATATTGTTTAGTGAAATCCATTAGATAAAAAAACATTATAATTATTAGACGGGTAAATTATGTATAGGTACTTATGACAATCTAGAATGTTATGGAACATTAATCTTTAGCTGACCATTCTGTAATTTTTACTATTAAAACATATTTCATGGACAAATGTACAAAACATCCCATAAGTAACATATTTGTCAGCATCATGGTGGAAAAATACCGGAGAAGCGGTTAGCGGTACGAAATTCGACCAGTCTTGCACAGGACGTCACTTTCGCAAATTTGTATTATGCCTATGTCTTGAATATTAAAAAGCGACTTTTTAACATATTTTAATATCTTCCTGATAGTGCTTAGAACTTTATAGATATATTTATCTGAAAACTTAACATTTCTAAATACCTAGAGGTATTTTTAGTAACTATTGGTACGTATTATTCAATTAATTTCTAATTAAATTGATAGTGTTATTGATATAAAGTTAGGTTATGTCACATTTTTGCCGTATTTTAAAGATAAAAAAATAGTTTCTAATTATTTTATTAAAATATTTGTTATTGGTACATTAAAATCTACTATTTTAGGGAGTGTAGTTACTAGCAAAACGCCAGGTTATGCAGTGCTTGGCTACAAGAACTATCCTAGACGTAACATCCTCTTCATGTTTTGAGGTGAAAGAATTCAGTTTTAGATGGACACTATCTTGGTAATCCTCAAGAGAAATGAACACCAACTGATGTAACTTAAATATATTACGCTAAATTGAAAGTAAATTACCTAGTTCTTGTATATAAAAGAGCATAAAATATATTTGTATTTGGCATTTCTTTTGCACAAGGGTTTAATATCTTCCTATATTGAGTTTTCTTGTATTATTGAGCATAACTGATGTGTGATTTATAGGTTATTTTAATGTAAATATATATGTTCAGTTTTATAATGATTATTGAACTAGAAAATAAAAGAGTAACATCTTGACAATCATTACAAAATGTAAACAAAGCCATGGCAGTCTATAGGCGGCCGTGACAATATCGATGTTGACGTCATAAAACCTGCGCACCGCTTCGCCTATATTCTTACACCATGGCCAGCATAACATTATAACTTTGTAACTTCTCAAATCATAGTATTATTTTTGTCGTTTCCATGACAACCTATAAAATGAATCAACAAAATAAACAAATAAATCGATAAAAATAAACAAAAATCATAATGAATCGATTGACAAAAAAAGCTTTAGTGCATAATTGAAAATAGAGATTAAGTTTTTAAAATGGTGAAAATTGGAAGATCTTAAATACTTAGATATACGACGTGATCCACAAAAATACTTCTACAGTAGGCTATGAAAAAAATAATGTCGGACTCGATAATTATAATTTTTTAAATGACTGGATTTAATTCAAAGGCATGTAGTTATCATGTATGTATAATACAACGAGTGATATTACGACAATCGATAAAACAATTAATGTAAGTATGTGATTATTTCCCTCGCCTGTCAATTTTGACATTTTACCCAATCACATAGCAATTTATATTATAGTTAGAACCAATCAAAACTGACTATCTATGTCATATTGACTGTCATGCATGTTGCTTCACCTATGTTGACAGCAACTCGCATACTTGATTATAGGTGTAATATTTAATAAGGGCCACTATCAAATATGTCTATTGTTAGCGTACAAGATATATATATATAAGTTGTTTTAAAATTATTTTATTGTGTTTTTATTTATGTAGGTTACTCTAGCGCTCTAGAAATAAACTCATTAAATATAACTCTACCTTAATAAATTAGCGCATATTTCTAGTGTTACTAAATTTTTCATATATTTCGCAATTTGTCTCGACATAATTTTGTCATTAGTAATCAAAGAATAGAGTCCGAGAGCTGACAAAATTAATTCAAAAACACTCAAAATTTAGATACAATAAAAATAGTCTTGTTATCTTAAGGCTGTATGTCACGATACTAAATTAAGTACTAAATTTAGAACTAAATTAATGCATTTTTTAATTACTAAAAAAATTCACGTTGCAAACAGCAAATTTAGTACTAAATTTAGTGCTAAAAAAAGTCATTAATTAATTAGATCTTTTTCTATTTTCTACTAAATTTAGTACTAAAAGTGCGCCGAAATGTTGCGCAGAAGTTTTTCATAGAAAAAGTTGACACGACGGTATTTTCTGTACCCTTTTATTTTTAATTAGCGACAATTTTACATTATCGCCTTGAATAAAGTTGGCTTGTTTGATTTTGTAGGTTTTATTGTGTTTTTTTCGTGGTTTTTATGCTGTATTTGGTTGTTGTCAAGTCAACTAGTGTCAAATTGATAATAAAAACACCATTTACTTGTCTGTTTTACACATAATATTTCATTTCTCTGTTAATTTTACGTATTAATACGTCAATGCGCGTGCGCCTATAGTAAATTTAGTACTAAAAACTGGTATTGTTGCAGACGGAAAAAAAATTTTTTTGTTCTAAATTTAGTACTAAATTAATAACTAAATTTAGTGCTAAATTTAGTGCTAAATTTAGTACTTAATTTAGTATCGTGACATACAGCCTTTAGGTACCCTTGATCATCCATAGCCCCGATATCAAAACTTGTATTCAATATCATGAATGATGAAAATATAACAACTCAATAATTAACACTTGCAGTAAAAAAGCAATCACAAAACAATCACTTTGCCGGTTATGGTTTACCAACTTTAAAAACAATTTTTGTGGATCACATAATTAATGTTATCTACTTAGATTAATAGATTTTAAATAAATAATTACGTTAACACCTGATATTGGTATAAGGGTAATTTTTTGTTCTATTTAGTCACTTGTAGACCCGTATTTATCCGTAAACAAGTTTGTTGATCTTGAAAATTTAATTTTATTCACAAAAAAGTATAACATTAAGAACATGTATTTCTATAAATACAAACTAATTTGAAAAAACATAAATTTTACATTAGGTTTACGGTTAAGTGCCTAGGATACGTCATTTGAAAGTCTATTATCAACGATTGTTACTAGTCAGAAACCTAACATAAAAGTTACAAATACAGGGTGTCCCAAAATAACTGAGAAATAGTGCTACCACGTATTTTAGATAATTCGATTGGACCCAATTTATATATAAATATATACATCAAAATATTACCGTTTATCCGTTAGAAGAGTTCACAGTTTACATTTTTGTACGCTGTGCGTGAAACAAATTTAATGAACTCTGACAGAAATACAATTTAGAGGATTGCTCTACTTTCAGTAATAAAAGAAACCTAAAAGAGTTAACGGTATATTAGTGATACCGTTATATTCCTCCCATCTCTAATGTCCCATTTGTTTTCCCGGTGTGATGATTCAGTGTTCTGTCACTCCGATAACTATTTTTGACTTTGTCAATTGAAGTTTAAATGTAGAAGTTGATCATCAAATTTCGGAATTATCCACTGTTAAATAATTTTAATTTGATTCTCCAAAGCCGTCTGATTTATTATGGTAAGCCTTGATATTAATATTTTTCAGTTTAAGGTCTTCCAATTTGAATAATTAAACCATTTTATCTCATCCTTCCTTTTTTATCACTTCCTAAAAGTTAAATCTTCTTTTTCTATGTAGGCTTTGTTACTGTTTCCCAGTGCGACTTTAGGAAGAGCACTGTTAATTAGAACCCAACAATGAACGGCCGAGTGGGGAATCCTACCAAGGCTTCAGAATTAATTTTAAATAATTAAATTAAATGAAAAAATCCCGGGGTGGGATTCGAACCTGGGACCCTTGGAGTTATATCATATAGTATTTTCTTGAACGTTAAATAAATGATTGATTAGATAAACAGCGTATTTCGAAAAGATTAGAAGGAAAAAAAAAGAAAACATCTTTCCTTAAACACTATTGACAATAGGTATTCTTAGTAAAAGTTTAATTATTGTAGTACACAATCTAGTTGGAACAAAAAACAATACAAAAGTCCTAATTTTAACAGGAAATAAATTTATTATCAGAGTAAATGTTCGAATAATAACTTGTTCCCTTTTTGCTCGTGGTCAAATTGTACATTTTGGTACATATATAAATTAGGTGCATTCGGCTTATTTTGACCTCTACAAAACGCTTTAGCACTATGTCCTAGCAATTTTGGTATACTTTATAAATAAAATTTGTAAGTAACGATTTCAAAATATAAGTTTACTTTCTTAACGAACATTTTATATTATGTGACTTTCCTCTTACATGCTAAACATTTATAAATATTCGGTTTTAGATTTAGATGAAGCACTAATTTTTGTTAAGAATGTATTTCCCTGAGAAATCATTTAGTAAAAAAGTTGAACATCATTTATGTCAGGTACACAGTTTTTGACGTTTTTGAATCTTGCGGTATATAGTTGTTGCGCTTAAGGGACGTTTATTTATGATAAAATTAACTCAAAACTGGTTCTTGGTACTTATCTTTGGGCAACTGCAAGATTTATATTTGGGACCATTAAAATTTAAAAAGAGTTTTAAACAAAGTCCAGTATAAATTTTTTCATCACATCAAATAATCAAGATACAACATCTGCCAATTTTCTATTTCTTATTAAGATCTAGAGATTTTACATCCTTTAAGGCCTCATGCATTGCTGCCGCAGACGCTTGGAACTGTATTTCTTCTTCTTCGCTCAATCGTAGATTAATAATACTTTCGACGCCACTGTTACCTAACACGCATGGCAAGGACAAAAACATTTCTTCGTCGATTCCATGAAGTCCCTAAAACATAATGAGGTGTCAAAAGAGGAAAAATTTAAAAAATGCGTTTATAATTTAATTAAAATCTTCTTGGTGTAATATTTAATGAATATGAGGTCCAGTCTGTAAAATTTGAAGATATTTAAAAATTTGATTTTTAGCTGCCCGTTAATTTCAGTTTTAAACTGACATATATGAAGTTTCTATCTCTTGGTTTATTAGAAGTTGCTATGGGAATTTTAGGCTAGGAACTTCAACGTCCTGTCCTTAGACAAGAAAAGAGAGAGGATACGTAACAAGTATATCGAGCACTTCTAGTATTCTGTGCCGATTATCGAGTGACCGCCATTATTTTGGTGCCAAGCATTTCAGCGACACCACAGCTTTTTATCCGTGTTTATTAGTGATTTTTGAAATAAACGACATTTGATAATTAGTTTGTTACAATGGTTAATTGTGTTGCATATCAGTGTAAAAGTCGTAGCGACAAGAATTAATCAAATATTACGTTTCACAGGTAAATAATAAACATCAGTCATTTATACTTTATATATTTTCTTATATTTTTCATTTTATTTGGTTATAAATACAACTTGGTATTTATATATTGTACATGCCTCACTCTAGACTTCCAGTATAATAAATGTTACCTGGCAAATTTGTTTATTTTATGCTTTTAATTCATGTTTGACCAATTAATAATATTAAAATTGCCAAACACGCAATTTTTTCCAGTGGCGTGTTGTACAATTCTAACTATTTACCCTTATTATATTTAAATTTACTTTTGACATTTGTCTATAGTTTTTAAACGCTTTTTATTGAATTATAGCAATGATTATTTGTTGTTTTATTTAAGATTTCCTGTGGATCCAGCAAAAAATCTTTGGATTCAGGCAACGAAAATGTTCCTTCCAAGATCATCCCACGAAAGTTTTTGAAAGACTTTTAAAAAGATTTCGTGAAACTGGCACTGTTGCTTATCAAAAGCGTACCATAAAATAATATGCCCACAACAGACGACGAAACTAACCGACAAAATGTTCTTCTGTCCATCATCGAAAATCCTAAGACAAGCTCAAGAATTGTGGCAAAATAATTAGATTTAGGCCAAACAAGTTTTAGAAAACTTCTTAAAAACCATTTTTAAAATTCAGTCGCATCAAAATTTGTGTGAAACAGATTTTAAACGCAGGTTAGAATTATGTTTATGGTTTTTGAAAAATACAAAAGAACATGATACTATTTACTGAAAAATCTACTTTCCATATTACCGGATTTGTGAATAGACATAATTTTCATTATTACAACACCGAAAATAAACATGAATTTCGAACTGTAGATCGACAAAATCGATGGTCGTTAAACGTGTATGGTGGAAAAACAGGAAGACAGTTGGTGGGGCTCTACTGTTTTGATGGTCATTTAAATGGAATAAAATTTTTAAAATTGTTGAAGAAAAATTTATGGAATCTTCTAGAGCAGTGTTTCTTAAACTTTTTTGGTGCCGAAACCTTTTTGAAAAGCGAAATATTTGACGGAGCCCTAATACATTTCTAAACAAAAAAATATCCTCTAGCCAGGTCCCTCTCTTTTGTGGCGATAGTACTGCTTCTTCTTTTTTGATTATGACTATTATTTTCTTCGCGGAGCCCCCACAAAATCTTCGCGGAGCCCCAGGGCTCCGCGGAGCACACTTTGAGTCATACTGTTCTAGAGCATATTACTTTTTTTAAAAATTGTTTAAATAAAAGTTGTTTGTAATATAATTCTCTATAATTTTTATGCCATACATAATTTCTCTAAAATGGACCGTATTCGAGATATTTGAGAAAATGTGTAAATTTCGAATTTTGAAGAAAACTCAAAAACGGATAAAGGAAAAAACATTAAATTTTAAACTTAAGTTTTATTTCGGCCTGAATGTGTAGCACTCCAGAATACAAGGGCACAATATCTAGGAGGATATCAAATAGAAGAGGGAGATTTACCTAACTTGAAGCCACTTCAAATCCTACACTTCCTTGAGAAAATAGGATTGGAAGGGTCGTTATAGGCATGGAGACATTTCCTTGGTGCATTGGCGATAGAAGGGGACACAATAGATCTTTTAGGTGGCAGTGTATTAACACCCCATTTTCAACATAACATAACATGGTTCGTTATTGGATTTAATGTGTGCTGTATTAACAGAAATTCAATTTCTGATATGATATCCAGAATATAAATCGCCATGCGTTACCGTCTCGATGATGGTGGGTGAGGTTTTCCGGGTGTTCCTCGCCTGTAAGTCAAATAGCGCCATAAATCATCTTTAAGTCGCCCCGGAGCGCCACGGCAAATAATAATAATAGGCGTCCCTTCCGCAACACAAGCCTCTCAGTCGGCTTCAGGGGTTGAAATTCACTCGTAAGGTTGTGTGGAATTGTCATTACATTAGGTTAAAACACGTAATGATTGTCACAAGCCTTGATTTTTAAAACCATTCCACATCGCGTGCCGCACATTTACAAAAATCATGACGCCATTATACGGCAAGTGTTGCACATTCGAATTGTTATTCTAATTCAGCTTCGCAGACAACGTGTTAAGCCTGTCCATATAAGGATATGTGATCTATTTATCCATGCCCATATAAAAATATTTGTCTATTATTACCTTAAGCCTGTCCTTAGAAAACTATTTGATTCCTTTATTCCTTAAGGAGGTCCTTTCGGCTCCAATGTTAAATAAAAAATATTAGATTATGACTAAAATTAATTTTTTTTCTAATAGTTGAAGTTCTTATTTATCTAATAGTGAACTTTTAACTATACCTTACCGTGCAAATTTTTGAGAAAAAAAAAATTAAAAATGTATTTGTACAGTGTCTTACGAGAAAGTAAGACCTCAACAGAAATGCTCGAATTATTTATTGATTAGATGGAGTAGAAAAAAAACTAAAAATAAGATTTTTGAAATATTTAGGTTTTGTTTTTTACAATAAAATATATAGGTTACCGTGGAATTTATTGAGAAATCAATATTAAAAAATCACAAAAAAATTTTAAGTTACCTAGCTTAAAATGGAATCAAAACATTTGGCAACGTTGCGTAGCGCGCGAACTTCAGACCATTGAATACATTCAATGTAAACTTTAACGCAATTGTGTTTTTCATTTATATTTATTAATTTTTATTTATTTTTACCAAATTTTTTATTTTATAATTGAAAATATCACAATAAATGAAAAATATCAGCTTATTAGAGTACTATCTAATTATTTATTTATTAATCATAATGAAAAATACTTACACATTATTTATTATAATTTTTTTATTATTTAAATAAAATTACGACACAAATGAGTAAATTGAAGACAATTTTTTTTATGAATAGTGTAAATTTAATTATCTAGTCATAATCCAATATTTTTTATTTAACATTGGTGGCGAAAGGACCTCCTTTTAAGTCTCACATATCAAAATATTTAGTTTCTTTACCACTTAAGGTTACCCATATAAAAATTGGTTGGACCATTTAAACACGCAAGTCTATCCAAATAAAAATATGTTTTCCCTTTGTCCTGGACGCCTGCGCATACAAAAATATTTGCCCCTTTACCCCTTAATCTTGTCTGTATAAATATATTTAAGCCTGCCCATATACAAATATTATTTCGGTAATTTACCTTTTTAATCCTATTAAATTCAGATACGGGTTTATATTCTGGTGTTTCATTAAAGTGGTACAAAAAGTATCGCTACTTTCCATTCTATTATGTTGTTCGCGTAAGACCCACATTTATTTTATAATAAAACTATTATTTTCACTATCGCACTTAATTTACAATAAATAGGTGAGTACTGAATTGAAAACTGAATAAATAAAATATTTTAAATGACTTAAAAAATTGGAAATGATTTATTGGACAAGGTGAGAGAACTAAAGAAAAAATAATAACCTATCGGCATTCATAGTTGACAAGCACGGCTACCCATATTATTATGAAATCAATATGAATACCTACCCTTGCTAAAGTACATAAAATATGCATTTAAATTTAACAACAACAATAATAGGTATTTATTTAAAACTCTAAAATTTTGAAAATCAATATGTTCCTAAGTTTTTCTACACCCACATAGATATTGGCTTATCTACGCACAGATTACAAAACGAAAAAGTATGCTATTGCCTTCAACTAAACGAATATATTTCATATCCATTCTAGGTAGTGAGAACACTGCAAAAAAATGAAATCCACCTTTTACCGTTTATATTTTGATCAACCTACTGCTATTATTTTTAAAATTTTAAATAAGTTACAATTCTGTCAAACTAATTGTCAGTATATTTTTTAGTTATTGAGATTAAACATAAATTAAAATGGGTCATTCTTGTGTAGAATCGATAAATAATAGCATTTCTGTTTTTATTTCGTGTATAATTATAAATAATTTGTTAATTTAAATAAAACTATGAGGGGGGGTGGGTGGCTCAGTGGTAGAGTCTCTGCCTGTGGATCCAAGGGTCCCAGGTTCGAATCCCACCGTTAGCCGGGATTTTTTATTTAATTTAATTATTTAAAATTAATTCTGATGCCTTGATAGGATTCCTCACTCGACCATTCACTGTTGGATTCTAATTAACAGTGCTGTTCCTAAAGTGGCGCAAGGAAACAGTAACATGGCCTGTATGTAAGGGCGTAGGAGTATTAGAGTCACATATTTTGAAATCAAAGTACGTGATTAGAGTACTAATACTCCTGCACTATGGAGTATTAGACTACTAGTACAATCCATAACCTACATAGAACCCTAGGCTAATGACCTTAGATGTTGAAGCCGTACACCAAAGAAAAAAAAAAAGAAAAAACTATGAAGTGAATTTAATTACGAATATTAAAGCAACAAAAATAAAAGATTAGGTAATCCTATGGTCAGCGTTCTGGCCTTCCACGCGGAAGATTGGAGTTCGATTCTCGGTTAGGGAAAAATAAAATGAACTCAGACAATTGAGCACTCTGCCTACGGCGTCT